ACTAGGTTGCTGCCGAAGTCGAGCAGTCTTGTTTTCTCGCCATACCTTTTGAAGGCATTTTTTCAAATTGGCCACCTCTATTCTCACCCGGGATGAGAATAGTGCAGGCTAGTCTTTTGGCTATTCTCACCCGGTGCGCGTTCACTGTTATAGCCTAGATCTAGGCCAACAAATTTTGCGTTCACCCTAAACCACAGAATTCTACACTGTGATAACAGAAAAACTGTAGAATTTTGTGCCGTGAACAAGCGTTCCATTAAAACTGTAGCCTGCTAAAAGCGTACAATTTTGTATGTGGGCAGTGGAGAGAGAGAGAGAGAGAAAGAGACAGAGAGAGGAGTAGCGCGAGAACTTCCGGTCAAAACAAAATGGCGACCCGCGTAGTTCGGCTCGATTCGAAAAGTTAAATAGCCGTAGCATTTTTGTAGACAACCAAATTAATTTACTTTTGTGTTTTAACATCATTTTTTGCTTTGTTTTGGTCAATTTGATCGTCCACACCGATAGTCAGTATTCAGAAAGAAACAGAGAGAGAGAGAGAGAGGGGAGGAGTAGATCTTGCGAGAACTTCCGGACAAAACAAAATGGCGACTCGCGTAGTTCGGCTCGATTCGAACAGTGAAATAGCCATAGCATCTTTGAAGACGATCAAATTAGCTTACTTTTGTGCTATAACGTAATTTTTTCTTGGCTTTTATCAATTTGAACATCCACACCGATAGACAGTATTCCAAAATGAGGAAAAGCAGGTCTTGTTTCGCACCGTGTGAGAATAGCCTACGCTGGCAAGTCTCACCCGGGGTGAGAGGTAGATCGTTTTTCTATTCTCACCCCGGATGAGAATAGCCACTTCCTTTCAAATTATGCAGTTTGGTTCGGGAACGTTGCCCCAACCACAATTGAAGTATCTGGATATTCAGACATCTAAAATCTCTGCTTGTTGTAGAAACTGAATTTGATGCGAAAAATGCTTCTTCCCAATCCTCGCAGAATGACAGAATGAAACATGACGCCGAATTCTCGCAAATAACCAAAAAATCTGAAGAACAGAAACCCTTAAGAGAAATAGAGGTCCAGTATTTTCCCGAGGGTTCGGAGAAATAGTCACTTTGTTATTTTATTCAGCTTGTTCACTTTCGTCTGACTACAGGAAAAAAATTCCAGCTCATTGAGGAATTTACCAATGCCCATGAAACTTTGCATGGCACTTCTGCAGGCCAGCGTCCAAACAAAAATATTTTTTAAAAAATCTTGACCCCCAGTAAAATAGTGACTCTACGTTCACGATGTCCTGAATCATCCACCATTGGCAAAAATGGCACAGAGGCATGACGGAAATGCTACGGTTGCTCAAAGTGAATGAGGAAACAGCATATATAATAGGAATACTCGCTTGAAAAATAATGCAGCGGTGGTCCGAATGCAAAGGAGTTTACGGAGGGCTAAGGCGGGCACAGCAAAACAGCCGAGGTCGACAAGGCCTCGTTCGCTCAGCGCGCGGAACACGACTTGGATCCTCTTCCCGTGTGCGGACCTGGTAACGCTCAACAATATGAAAATAAAAGTTGTTCGAAGAAACAAGGGAGAGTGGAAAGAAGGCCGAGGCGAGAAGAGGGGTGGGACTAGGGGGTGAAAAAAAGAAGCAGCAAAAGGGAAAAGAGTAGGGCCTTGGTGGGATGAAGTGAGCAAGACCATTCTTAATTGCAAACTACATTCAGGGCGCCGTGAACTTAGCTTGCAAACTACGTTCACGGCGCCGTGATTGACGTAGTCACTGTGAATAAAAAAAGTTTTCTCTTTGGGCCCTATATTATATATATATATATAATATTTCAATTTTGAGTAAGTGCTCTTTGGATGCATACACAGGATCACTAAAATAAATGACTTACAGTAGCCTTGCCTACAAATTGCTCATTTTGAGACATCGACACCGCCCTGCCCCCACATTTCAGCGTAAGCTTGTCGATTTCATGCCCCGGCTATCTAGACGTCTCCACGTGTTCCACGCGAGTCTAGATAAATACTCATGCCGTCTCTTGAATCATGTTTCTAAGGAGAATTGTTAAAGAGGGGTGTTGAGGAAAATAGGTCCACTTTCAATTGTTTTAGGTGTGTGCTTTTAATCCCCTATTATTTTTTTGACCCGCTTTAGGCTTATATCAAAGAAAATGTGTGGGAACCTTAGTTTGCAGCACAGTGATTTTTAATACTTTTATGAATGGGTTTTCAGATTCTGTTGGTCATCCAACTTTTAGACCTGTATTCAAAGATTCGAGAAAATTGAACAAAGCAATTTCATTTTATGATCTTGTTTTAACCAGGGCCAGACAAAGGTAAACCAGCTATAGACATCTGACATGCATGCTATTACTTACTATTGTTATATGGAATAAAATGTGAGATCTTTACCGGATGTCATAATTAGTATTCAGTCAGCAGGCCATACTCCTAATCTACAGACGTAGAGTTACAGCTTGTTTACTTTTATCTGACCGCTGTAAAAACATGAAAAAAACCCCCAAATTTCTCAATCTTTTAAGATCTTTGTATTGGCCTGCCGGTCTAAAAGTTGTTGAAGACATGAATGCATTTAATAATAATAATAATAATAATAGCATTTGTATAGCGCAAATCCCCGCTCAACAGCAAACTCTCTATGCGCTTCACAATCTATACTATTAGCCCAGCAGACCTGAGAGCATTCTGAAACAACCTCAACTTCCTGGGAAGCATACAGTGCAAGCAGCCTTTTATAGGCGCTAAAACACTAACTTACAAGATCTTTCGCTGTCTATGGCCGGGTACCCATTCCCACCTGGGTGAAATGAGGGAAATTCGTGTAAAATGCCTTTCCCAAGGACACAACGTCGGGCCCGCAGCTAGAACCCCCGAACCCGCAACCTCACGATTACGAGTCTGGTAGCATAATCACTAGGCCACCGATGCCACAAACATTGAAGGGTTTCTAGTTTTTACTCTTGTGTCCCGGTTTATAGGTTGTCGTCTTCAGTTTTGCCCGGCTGCCAATCAAATGTTGAACTTGTTATTCTGAATGTTTGTTAATAGAAAATATATATATTTTTTTTTTCTGCTTATTAATTGTATCATTATCAACCGTTGTGATTTCAGCCAATGCAGCTTACAGATGAGGAAAAAGACGTTATGAGAGAATGTGAAAGAGAAAGTTTCTACCTAAGAGGTATGATGACATGAAGGGGAGACTACGTTTAGAAGTAATGTGAATTCTTTATTTAAGATTATAAGATAAGATGATACAGTCGAACCTGTGTAAGACGGAGTCGCAAGGGAGCCAGAAAAAGATTCTGTCTTAGACATTTTCCATCTTAGACAGGGGTATTTTGGGGGAAAGAGAGGGGGGTTTCAAATTCAAAGGCCCAGCTGGTGGATCTAGGTTTTCTTCTCCGGTCGGCAAGCAATGGTCAAAACTTCACACCTCTCAAGTGCTATCGTCTCTGATAATGGCATGTGTCAAGTGTCAGTCTTACTTATCCATTGTCACCAGTGCTTGCGTTTCATAGGAGCATTGTTTGACCTAATAAAAACAGAAACGTTTGAACATATCCTTTGCTTCCACCCGTAAGGCCTTAGCTGTTATAAGCACAGACCAGCCAACGCCACCCCTCACAGCCTTGTAACAGATTTGAGGAGCTCTTTTGTTGGCTGGCCATCATGTGATCAGGGCGGCAGGCATTGGTCAAACGATTTTCACTCCTCTGGACTCTGACTAGCCATGAAAGCTTCCATGTTGGAGCGCCATGCGAGCACTTTCACTGGCACTGGTGAGATTTCACACCCACACCACCCTGACCATCTGCACCGCTCAGGGCTTGTATAGATGGGGTAACAACTACCCCCAAGTTACATTCCCACTTCCCTTCCTCACCTGGCAGCATGGCGCAACGTTTAGAGCCGGAGGAACCCAACTTGTGAGATTTATTTCACGTCAGGGCTGAGGGGGCAATGCATTTTCCATCTTAGGCTGATAAAATAAAACCATTGGAAGGGAGTAGATTTTTCTCTCCGTTTCCGCCTACTTACAGGTTTTGTTTTTTTGCAGGTAATTAAAGAGGACTTTATCAAAGGGGGAATGGGGAGATTCCGTTAAGACAGGTTTCCGTCTTACACATGTTTCCGTTAAGGCACGTTCGACTGTACTTAATGTCTCTGTGGGAATTCTTTCTGTGTCATGGGCAATTAATTATTGCTCTAAAATTTGATTGCAATCTCACTGTTGTTTAAGGGATGCTTCAGTTTAGATTATCTTTTAAATCATTTACTTTTCATGAACAGTGTATAATTGGGATGACCTTTATCATGGATTGTCAGCCATCGTCTGCAATGCATATTATATTCAGTTTAAAACTTGTGCTTCATCAAAGGTTTCTTGCTGCCTGCTAAAATAAGTCACAAGTCATGGTCATGAAAAATGTGCTGAAAACTGGATTGAAAGTGAATGAAAAGCTTTGGAAAACAATCTCTGTGAACGTCAAAAGATGAGCTGTGGTTGTTTATTTTAACTTAAGAAACACTTTTTTGTTACTATGCTTATGAATTCTTTTTTTTAAAACTCAGTAATAGTAATATTTCTGATGTGTACAAGACACTAATGACAGTCATTCTTCTATAAAATGTCTACCTTATTGCATTTACCATTCGTAGCTGTTATAATGGTAGAGTAACGAGAACGGGGACATACTGTAAAACTCCCACTCATTATTCTGATTATCAATTATTGAAACACACTCTAGAGCCAGCACTTGTATGATTTATTTGTGTTGCAAATGCCGTAAAGGTAAAAATCTTACTAAAACTAAACACTCTAGAGTCCAAGTAAGGTTAATATGTTTTTATGTGAAAACAAACTTCTTTTTACGTTTGAATTATTAGTGGTTCATTGTCGGTGATTTACACATGAATGAAATGTTGTTTTCCATGGTATCATGTGTCCTCATCAAACTGGTGAAGTGTGTTTTCTATCATAGCCCTCCCAATGTCTGCTGGTGCCATGGCTGCAGCTCAGATGTTAGTAAGATCAGGTAAGTCTTTCAGATATTCACAATAGTTTGAACCTGTTCACTAACTTGTACGAGTCAAATCGCATGTCTTGTAGCTGAGCTTTGCACTGCTCTTGGGACATTATTTAGGTACCAAAAACTAAATTTTCAAAGTAGCTATATGCCAAATGTATCAGTTCCATTTGAAATTCCTCTATATCTCCTGAGAATTTTGATACCGTTCTTTAACCTCTCTGTCAATTTTTTAAAAAATGGTAGCTGTTTTAAATATGATCAAATTTTCTTCAGTTGCTGTCTCGCTGCAACCCCATGTTTGACAGATAATAAAAGAGTACCAAGTGCACCAAACATCTGCACACCAACGAAGTACAATCATTATAACATAGATAGGGAGCCTAATTTTTTTCAAGACTGTGAGATCATTACAAATCAGTATTTTATCGCTTCAAACACAATGGTCTGACATTCTTTCGACAAAAACTCCGAGCGTTGACCCGGCTGGCGCCCCACCGGGCCCCCGTGGCGAAGGCGTCGGCTTTATACAGTAGTGTACCGAGTGCTCCCCGCGTGGAGGTCACATGCTTTCCTAGTTTCGCGGAAGGAGTGATGCAAAATAATTCCAAGCCGATTACTTTATTCTAATAGAAAATGAACTGATCTTTCTGTTGGTACCTTTTTTGAGCCAGTATTTTACATATTTCGAGTAAAAAATGAAAACTGGTGGTATTTTTAAAGGCTTTCTATATAAACGCCAAAAATATATCACGGGAAAGCCCTTTTAAAGCTCTACAGTTCTCCGCCAATGAAAAGGCCGTATTTAATCATCAATCCTTCCGCAAAGCATTTAAATGCATGCATGATAATTTTTTAACTGGCCGACCATGCATTCCGTCCGCGAGGGGCTTCGCTTTCCACAACGATTCTCCAGCTCCTAATAATCGGACATATAAGCAACGTACACCATTGTAACGAGGAAAGGCTGAACTTTTACAAGGTGTTCAGCATTTGATGTCTTATAGCGAAAGAGCGAAGAAACAGCGATCTGAATCACCACGAAACCACACGCTCAGAAGGCCGCGAGTGCCAGCGAGGCCGTGTTTACGCTACCTACATTATTATACTCAGTATAATTGTCCTGCCTCTACAGCATAAACAATAATTATTGAGATGGTGTTTACTTCAGAGGAAAAAGTTCACTCCAGTTTTCTTTTCTGTCGGTGGTCTAATATGATAGTAATGATAATAATCACGAAGACTGAAGAATATTTATGTAATAATTTCTATGTTTATAAAGATTAATTGGTGTCAAGACAAAGGTGTATAGGTTTGACCTAAATTTGAACTGATTTTCTAGGGATTAAAAAAATGTTGACTTCATAATGGAAATTCATGTCGATTTTACTTATCATATTTACTTCAAAATATTGTGCATCACATTATTCATGATTCTTATTTTTTTTAGGACGATGGCAGCCTCATCCAACACTGGGATCTTTTCCAAAGACTGCTGGTCAGTAATGGTCATTTGGGATGTTTGTTTACACAATGAGATACTTCTGTCAATCCAAGAATGGAGATACCTGCCAAAAATTGACACTGGGATGAGATTTGTAGATTTTCTATTGATGCCATTTTCTTCAAGAATTTAAAAAAAATTTAAAAATTCAGACTTATAAATTGTTCAAACTCTGCCCATAGTTTTGATGCATCTATTTCCAGAGGACTAAAATCTGAGAAGTAATTCATTTTGTCAGCACACCTCTCATTTGTTCAGCTTTCCTCTTGATTCAGCCACTAATTTTATTTTTAATCAACACATGCATTTGTAGTAATAGATGTCCTCAGTTGTGATTATCTGGGGAGAAGCTTCAGGTTAGACAAAAGACATTTTATGCCCCCTTAACTCTCTGTCTTTATAATGTGTCATCATTTCATTCACTCCATACATTATATTTTGAGTCTTGATTGAAGAGGAGAGGCCATGAGGGTATTTAAGTTTCTTTTATTATTCTTTTGTATTTGTTAATGTCATTTAAACATTCAGACCAAATTGCTTGTCAGACATGTGTTTTAATTATGGAAGTGTGTAATGTGAAATTTAAAAAAAAAGTGTCTTAGCTCCAGAAACAAATGAGTGAGATCATGTTATCACTTTTAGCACATTGTTTTGCCTTTGACCTGGCATGACTCATCAGCCCTTGATAGCTTCCCGGCTTGAAATCATCGGGGTCAACTGGTTCGGAAAAGGGACAAGTTCACTGGTGGTGGTTATAAAGTTTCCATTTTTACCAGTATTTGAAACAATATGATTTCCTGCCCATCTCATGCAGAAAAGTGAATTGTAATGGACAATTCTTGTTTTGTTTTTTCTGTTTTCAGTCCTTGGGGCCATCGGGTACTTGGTGGGCAAGATCATGTACCTGCCTGTTTGCCAGCAAAAAATTCTGGACAGAATTCCGAACTCCAATCTTGGAGTAGCTGTGAGAAAAGCTAAAGGCATTCCTGATCCTGCTGCCCAGTACGTATGGACCTTAACTGTTTAATGGAATGATTTAGTGTGGTGCAGAGTGTTGAAAAAAGTGTTTCAGACCCTCCCCAGTCAAATCAATGCCATTTGAAGGTGTACTATGTGAAATCATGGAAAAACAGTCATGGGTCTTCTGTGGTCTAACAGTATAAATTTCTCCTTCATTCTGTTCAAATTTTGGCAGTCATATATTCTCACTATGTAGTGATGGACTATGATGTCTTCAGGGTTGGCATCATGCCCACAGGGAATACCAAGGAGAAGAGTGTCTGCTGTGCACCATTCCTCCAGGGACTGACATGCCTACAAAATGTGGCCTGGAGTTTGTAGCCCAGAACAGCCCGACCGGGAATTCAATCCGCAGGATCTCGATTGCAATCTCAATTTGATTCACTTTCCATTAATTCCGAGAGTTTTATGTCAAACTCTTTCCAAGACACAAAATGACTTTGTTTCCTGACATAATACATGACTTTCATGCTGAAGCTAGACATGTGTCATGTGAGTGCACAGGAAAGGCTAGAAACAAAAATCTATGTTTTACTATGTTTCAAGTAGTGTTTGGTGTTCTTAGACTGATCTAGACATTGTATCATCTATGAAAGAAATTACTTTGATATTTTAACAGAAAGTGCAACCAAATAAGTAATAGTCCGTGCATGCTAATAATTATCATTGAGTGGATTCACTTTTTAATAGTCTGTGCCTGGTAAATTAAAAAGTTCTTGATTGCCGCCATTTGTAAATACAGTGGAACCTGCTCTAACTATCACCCATACACATTATCACTTCCCAATTCCCCCCTTGTGTTTTTTCTGTGTTACAATGACACTATCCTAGTGAACCACTTGTCTAAGATGACCACTTTTCTCAACAATGGGTAGTCATCTTGGATGAGTTCGACTGTCTATCAATGCTGTTGTGCAAAGTTGACAAAATACCTTTAGAGTTACCGAATGGCAGTTGTTGGTTTTAAAATAAATAGATTTCACTTGATCATCGTGTTTCTGTCAAAGTTTGATTCAAGTGCTTTCTCGTCTTGAATTTTTTTTTTTCGAGTAGAGAGTCAGAGTGGGAGCCTCCAGCATCGCCCCCAAAGCTGCGTGATGAGTACAAGAGTTTCGATTCTAACCCTCCGTCCAGTAGTTCTCAACCGGAGGGCTTGGATGACAGGTTCCGGCCTTCAATGGATAGGGAAGGTGAAAGAAATAGAAAGAGACAATTTTCTCCTTTTAACTTGAGTCGTTCACTTATGTTGTCTTATGAGTTATGTGTTGCGACGTGGTGGAATCAGGCGCTCGTCAATTTTTGGGCATACAGATTTTTAAATTTTATCTTAAGGCTTGTTCATTTAATTTGTCTTGATTTTGCTGAAAAGAATATTCATCTATCTTGAATAGGATTAGAGTTATTTTGGGATTAAAGTGGGTGGGGGGGGGGGGGGGGGGGGGGCTTGCCTTGGGTCAAAGGAAAAATTAACAAGAAAATAGCTGCCAAAATTTGGTGACTTTCAAAGCTTAAGAGTCCTTGGAAACTGAAAATTTACACTGTTTTTGCCTTCGTTCAAAGCTGTTTTTTCATGTAAATAAAATCCCCACAGAAATGTGTCTTTAAATGGACATTAAAGGTGTTGAGCCCCAAACAAAATTCGGCAAACAACAGAAAAATGGAGGCTTCTTCAGTTTCATGATTTTGATGAGTGCCAGATTTCCCCACAATGTCAGACGTATTTGTTTTGTTTCACAAGTCCTCGGAGAATTTCTAATGGCCATTTTTTATTCTTACACAAATACATTGTCACTTGCCCCACACTTGAGATGAATGGGGGGAACACATTTCCCCTGAATGGGATAACATGCTTCTTCTGAATGGGGTAATATGCTGTGCTCCTGAATGGGGTAATGTGCTTCGTCTGAATGGAATAACAAGCTTCTCCTAGTAGGGATGAAATACTCCTCCTAATTGGAATAATAGGCTTCCTCTGAATGGGGTAATATGTTGTGCTCCTGAATGGGGTAATGTGCTTCTTTTGAATGGGATAACATGCTTCCCATGGACGGGATAACCACCTTCTTCTAGCTGGGATAACATACTTCTCTTGAATGGGATAACATGTTTCTCTGGACTTCAGTTCAAGTCAGGTCATTTCTTACCTTCTCTTTTGCATAGCCTTGACTGTTGTGGCCTGTCTGGGTTTTTTCAGGGGGGGGGGGTTGTTTTTGAGAATGGTACTATTGCTTTCAATTTTGAGGGTAGGATTTGAGGCTGTCTTTGCAGAAGTTGTAGGTCCTGTTGATACATCGTGTGACTCTATGTTATTTATCAGCAACAAGAGCTATGTTTGTTTTGTTTTGAAACTATGTGATTTCTTTTCTTTTTTTTTAGTCAAAGAACGAGAGCAGCAGGAAGAGAAAAAGTCCATCACATACGATGACTTGCGGCGACGCAACAGGCAGGAGTATGAAGACAACATGAATAAGAGGTACACCAAGACGCCGGGGACCCCGTCCTACAAGGACAGTCCTCTCATGCCCCAGAAGCCCTGGCCTGACTCGGATCACCCAAGGAGGACAGACCCTGATGATTTTTCAGAGCCACAGCAAGCTCCTAGCCCACCTCAAGCTCCAGCCAGAAGTAAGTAAATGGTTATATTTTACAGCAATGAAATGTGACCCATAGGAAATACTGGCACCCAAGGGAAGAAAGAGAGGGTGGGGATTCTTTTTTTTAAAAATGTTAGTCGGTATCTGTGTGTGTGTTTGGGAGTGATGTGTTTTGTATTGAGTGGAAATGAGAACCGGTGGCTTAAGGCTTCTGAGGGAATTTTTAATCACAATGATTTAAGGCTATGAACTAGAACCAGTTGCAATGCTGCTTAAGTAAAGGGGCCAGCTTTTATAAATAAGATAATCTTGTGACCCTTGTGAAGGGAATGAGTATTTCAACCAGTCAAAAAAGTTCTCTCCGTTGACCCACCTAGCTGACGTCTTGTTCGTGCATTTAAAAAAACATGTGTCAGTGTGTACTTTACTTACTTTTACTTTTTCATCCTCTGTTGCCATTAAACGTTGAGGGGAGATGCAGTTTTCTATGGTAGGCCTGCTCCTCAGTTCTTTCAGTTGTGATGTTATGTTTTCTTAGGGTTTCCTCGACACCCTCGATCCACCTTTTGTGTTTGCAGTGTAAATTTCGTGGTCTGTTAGTCCCCCCCCCCCCCCAATCACCCCCACCACTCCCTTCATCTTGACCCCACTTTCCGCCCATTTCCTTTGCTTTCATTAAAACTGTCTGCATGTTATTAGTTTCAAATCTTACCTCTTCTTGTGGCTGCCTCTATCAAGGAGTTGATGCTCTTGAAAGTAGGCATTGCCATTTTAAATAGGTGGAGTAGAGTGTGAGAATACCTACCATTGTTACAGTGCAATGATTTTTTAAATTATCATGCATCAATTTTTTTCTTCTTCAGAAAAACGCACCAACATCTGGGGTGATCCAATTGACGACTAATTCCGTGAATGGATGAGGATGTTGTCCGTGCGAGCTTGTTCTTTACATCATGTAAACTATGCAGTACAGAGGACAAGATGGGAATTGGCTGAGTGGCATAGTTTCACAAATATGATAACAAATTTTATGTGCTTTTACATGTACGTCCTCTGAATGTGTGTTTGTTGAGAGTATTTGAATGAAAGTTTTATAAACAGAGCTGAGCTTGATGAATTGTGTGTTAGGTTCATATGAGTTCAATTTTTGTTAGAAACTATGGTTGTTTTTATGTGTGTCATCGATGTTAACATGTATCGCGAAGAAGCCATCACTGGAGGGTGAAATAAACTTTGGACTGGTGACCTGTGCGTGTGCTTTATTTCTACTTGTTGACTGATTATCTGTTAAAGCACATCATTTGTCCTATCAGCGGGATGATCGATTTTGGTTGTAGAGTGATGATTTTTGCGGTAGCGTCTTGTGAGCTCTGCACACTTTCAAACTTCTCTGATCCTTCCTGTAGTTTGATGCTGATAAGATCTTATTCTTTGAAGGGAGGTTGAGTTGCTAAATAGCAGAAAGGTCTTCATGTTAAAAGAAGGAGGGAGTTATGGTTTGGAGAGACTGCTATACCTGAAGAATCAACCTCATAGGCAGTTTGCCCACCTTTGCCTGTTTTAGTCTTGGGTAGAAGTATTTCATGACCAGATTGGTATCGTGTGAAATCAGTCGTTTTCACAATCTTTCAATTTCAATTTATCATGTATCCTTGTGTTTTGTCACAAAATTCGATTTGCCTTTGATTGAAGTATTATCATGCAAAGAAAGTTATTCCCATTTGTAAAAACTGTTGGAAGACAGGGCTGTCCATGTTATATTGTTGCTGAGTTAGAGACATAAATATGTTTATCTTCAGTAGAAAACATACATAGAGTTCACTTTTACATATAATCTCAAACATAACCCGTCACAAAGAACATTTATGAAGACTTTTCATGGACATAATATATCGTCGCCTCATAACTATTTTTGTCCAAAGTGCCCTCTTTACTTAACTGATTCCGTCCATTTGGCCGCTGACAGCAGCTCTGAATTTTTCCACTGCATCCATTCAACCGCTGTGAGTGGCTCAACGAAATCCGAAACAAAGGTGCACTTTTTAACATAGTTCCTACCTTTTAAGTTGTCGAAAGGAAGTAGAACTTGTAAACAAACCTGACCTCAATCTCTGAGCGCCAGTATCGATGGAAACTCTGCGAAATTCTTGCAAAAATCGTTGTTTTATTGTTGCGATGTAGGCTAGATCTAAGGGTAAATTACATGGAGCCTGGTATAAGAAAAAGGCCCTTCAAAGAAAGATATTCAACTTAATTTGCGAAATTCTTGCATAAATGTGTGCTAGAGTGATATCGCTACAATTTTGTGTTGATTCCTATGGATTATAAGGACTTGTAGAGCTGAGAAAATGCGGTGAGTCGAAATTTTCGAAGAGGTGTTGCGCATTTTTTTTTTCATCATTCGTTTTTGTCTGACGGAAAATACAATACAAACAGATTATAGGTCATTGTTATTGATATATAAACAGATTCCTCTATTTATTCCCATCACTTTGGTATATGACAATACCTATTCGAGTAACTTAGAGCTTCACAGTAATGCATTAAATAGATGCACCCCAGGTCTAGAACTGAACAAGGAAAAGTAATTCTCTCCAGAGGCTGAAAAAATCATGGATGGAATCAGTTGAGTACACTTTGGACAAAATAGTTCTGAGGTGAAGATATGGCTACAGTCAGGATCTCTCTCAAGATTGTTTTCCTTTCTTCACGGTATAGATCTAAAGTCTTTCAGTATTAGTATTACTAGGGCTCAATTTATGGACCATTTATTTGACTGATAGTTTTTTTAAAACTGTCTCAGTTGTCATATGTTCTGTTGCAAACTTTTTGCATGAATTTCATTTTTGTGAATTGACTTTTGAAGGGTATCGTTATGGCAAAATGTACTATATTCAATTTTCTTCACAGAGAAAAATAAGAAAATCTACTTGCTGGGTTGAACCATGACACTATAGGAGATGATTGAGAACACCAAGAGAAATGTACTGACAAAACATTTGAATCAAGTATTTGATATTATGAAGTCCATAGTAAGGCTATAAAAGAGCGGAAATATGGAATGGTATAGGTTTAAATCCCCTATCGACACTATTAGGTTATTATGAGGTAGAACCTTGTAACTCCCAGTTTAACACATCCTTCTCAGAAAGGTTCTTACCGAATAGGAAATTCATTGTGTAAAGTACCTTTCCTATGGACACAATGTTGGACCGAGCCGAGGCTTGAACCCCCGAATTGGCAATCTTAGGATTACGGGTCCCGTAGCTTAACCACAAGGCTACCGATGCCGCAAAAGAGAGGAATAACTCAGTTTCTAAGAACTTGGTGCATAGTGTGTTTTGACATGAAACCCTTTCATTTGGTCAAGAAAGTGATATGATCTTAGAAGTCATGTTATATATATATACCTGTGCACGAAATTTGGTGCTCTAGTAGAAATAATTATTTTGCTTTTACTTAGATTAATTTTTTTTTCCAATGGAATGAAGCCAGTTTATTTATACCTTTAAAAAAGTAGAGTCACCATCACAGGATTAGTTTCTCCCAACAAAAAATGTATTTGTTTAAAAATCTCAAACATATATAGTAATGTGTTGTCACTGTCAAATAACTGTGGTCATCCAAAAAATAAGAAAAAGGAAGTATAAGTGGTTGATGAATTTTGACTTGAAGAACTAGAAAAGAAGCAAGCAGAACTAGTGTTTTGAATTGAAAGATTGTTCTTATTTGGTCTACCTTTAGTCTTTCAATCATAAATTGTACAGTCAAGCATGTACATAGTGAACATGCTGATAGCAAGAAACACACTTAGTGAACAGATTTCCAAGTGCCGAAATTTTTCTTGCATGTATTCTTTGCATTAAAAAATGTACACATTGCAAAATTTGTACACAATGAAAAGATTTCAGTTTTCAGTGTCCCTCCAATTTCACTATGTGTGTGCTAGACTGTACTTTTTAATCTTCCTTTCTGCCTAAACCTTTGTTGATATCAATATTTTGTCTTAGATAGTTTGGTTGCGTGATGAATGTTGATTGTTCTAATAAAATATCAAATGGCTACTTGAAAACCAAAGGCTTTTCTGATTCTTAGTATGAATTTATCTCTATGTATTTCCAAAAGATGATATTCGTATACTTGATTTAATTTAATAATCATGAGGGAGTTCTGGACGTTATACACATAACAAACGTGATGAAAAGGATAGATATGAGAGTCATGTGCTGCAGCATACTCGGTAGTGCGTGGTGTTCAATTCAAATTGATGAGTTTTATCTAAATTTGTTTTCTTTTTGGGTGGATAAGAGGTTTGTGAGTTTGCAGTAGATTCGAATGGTTCCAAGTAATCCAAGATCAAATTTTGGCATAGAAATCTTTTGACAAAAGTTACAGAATTCTGAAAGTAGAGAAAAACTATTAGTTCAAAGTGTCTTTCCAATGAACAGGATGCCCTACCCAACACAGCCTGGAATTGAACTCGCCAGTCTTTTTTTATTATTTTTATTTCCCTCATCGGTCTTGTCACTTTGCTCTTTATCCAGAGCATAGAGTGCAGTAAAATGTCTGTCTTGTATGAAAAAGACTAGCTTACCTTGTTGCACTGCCTCAGTTATTTCATCAATGAATAAGTGTGATTGTTTCAAGTAACTGACTTTTACAGAAAATATTTTACATGTATATATGCAAAGAGTATGAGCCAGTTTATTTTCAGTCTATACTGGCTATCAAAGTCAAAAGAAAGGTACCACTTTTTTATTGCATAAAAAATAGTCTTTTGAGTTTCTAATGCTTCTCCTTTCACATGAGTAATACTGAGTAGTCTAAAAAGTAGGTCATAATATAAAAATAACATTTTGGTGCTTCAATTGGTGTTTACAACTCCAACGCAAAAACTTAGAAAATTGACATTTTTCCCCCAACCAAGTGGCAGATTTTTTTTTCTATTCTTTGAATAGTATTTAAGTTGAGATCTTTGTCTATAAAAAAACGCATTTGATCGTTGTAAGCAAAAGAAAGATGGAAGGTTTAATTCAAAATCAGAGAAATGGAGCCATCGGCAGGCTCCTTAGGTTTTTGCTATTACCAGGACAGCCAACGTCAGTTTTTGTTGTTGTGTTGAAAGTCCTGCAGGCAACAGCATCTATCGTCCATATCTTCCCTTTTCCTTTTTGTGTTTGTTACTGTCTTGTAATACCTCTAATCTTCAGCACTTATATGGCCTTTTTGCATTGCGAGTGCTATAAAACTCTTACCAAAAAATTATTTTTTTTTAAGCCACAACCCTCCCTCACCCTCCCCAAAAAAGAATAACCCAAAGCAAAAAAAAACCCACCCCAAGTTGTGGGGATGGCCTAGTCTGGACCACAAACAAGAAGACAACACCTCTGCTGGGGCAAGTCTGAACTTTATTGTTTACCTTGAGACATTCAAAACATAACAGAGTCAAACTGTCACTGCAGCATGTACCGTACTCCAAGTATAGCTTACCGGTGATGGAGCAGCCAAAAGTGTACAATGAAGAGAAGAAATACAAGCTCATTATAATAGCTGTAGGCTGACTTGAGCATAATAAAACTGAGTCTCCTCAACACTATGAGACATTCTTGTACATTATGCAATATAAATGTGTGACTGACGACTATTCTTATATGGTATGGAACTACCCTAAGACCCTGGAGAATAAGAAAGTGCAAGATTGTATTACCTGTTGCTCTCTGTACAGTAATAACCAATAATTAGCCGCTTTTAAGCACAAGGGGGCTATCCCGAAAAATGCTGTTTTGAGAAAATTGAAGATAAAGTTTTTGCCCCTTGTTCAGTTTCTTTAAAAGTCTAGAAGAGTTTTCTCTTTTACCAAACAAATAACTCACCAATGAAACCAAACTTCTCCCACAGGTAGAGCATGCTCATGAAATCTGGGTAAGCCCGCTTGTCCTTAAATGTAACCATTATTCAAACTCAAGCAACATGGTACTGCTTTTGTAGCCTACTTTTTAAAAACTCGCAGTGATAAAGTGGGGGATACAAGAGAAAGCGTTTCAATAGTTGAAATGAGACTGCTATCACAGTTTTTAACAGCGTGACGGATCCTGAGAAGTAGTGCATGTGATTTTTATTTTCTCCTTTACGTTTTAAAGTAGCCAATATTTAAGTGATAAACTTTTTCATAAGGAAAATTTGTAAAAAAAAGGCAGGAGCTACTGTAGAACATTTGCACGATTGACTGAACAACAGGCAGACAGCCAAAAATCCAGAGTGCAGCCTCTCTATAACAACATCATCGGAACCGGAAAAAATGTTATAGAGAGTTGTCGTTATAGAGAGGCAACCAAATATATTACTACTAAGGATCATAAGGGAAAAAAATCGGGACCTGGGCACCATGTCGCTATACAGAGGATGTCGTTATATCGAAGGTCGTTATAGAGAGGCTGCACTGTACATGACACTACAGCCTGTCCTTGTGGTTTTATGCACCCCGCATAATTTAGCAAAATTTGATCAGTTTTTGCATAATTTCTGATTATTTTCCTTTATCATTCTTCGTTAAAATTAACAGAATCGCATAATTTCACATTTTTGGGCTCAGTTTGCATAATTTACGAATTTTTCTTGCATAAAACGACAGGGACAGTACAACACTTTATTATACTAGTAAACCCTCTTCCGATGAAAAAAGCGCTGCAGTCATAGTAATGGCATGTTGTAAACCTTGTTTCCAGATTGCCTGATCTTGATATCAGTAGTGCCTGATCCCTGAAATCTACTACTTTCATTTCATAACCTGCACACAATAATGGGTAATGCTTTCTCTTGAGCAAAGAGTCAAATACTGGAGAATAGCTTATGCATGAGCAAACGCTTTCAATGGGCACACCTAGCAAGCCATCTATAATAGTGAAAATCCTACAAACAGTCATACATTTGGTAAAATTAATTACTGAAGGTATCAAACTAAAGTAGAAATGGACAATTTGTATGCTTGTATAAACACAATGAATATATGATGAGCAACCATACCTGGTACGGATAATGCTTTGTAAATGTTGCATATGTTTATGTTTTTCAGCATAAAGAGACAGCAGCAGGTCTATTCTTGTATATATATATACACAAAGTATCACAGCAGTACAAGATGAATATTTAATATTTACTCAAAATGTAGAGAAAATTGCATAGGCTGACAGCAGATGGGACAGGAACCGCAAGCAATGTCAAAATAGTAACAGCAGTACTAATGAGTAATTCATTCACACGCGCCAAGCATTACACTATTTAATCAGTTTCTACAATGCTGAAAGTACTGAAAGTAAAAATTAAAAAACCCAAAAACATTTGCTTATTTTAATGCTTGACATTACTGCAAGCTGCCTGTCGTTATGAATTTGGCGGGATCAGTATGATATTCAATTTTACGAAAATACGATCATAAAACCCCCTCATTCCGATTTTTTTTTAAAAAAGGCTACCCGAACCTATTGCCAACCTTCCCGGTGTAGAAAGAAAGAAAAACTACCAGACCCGGACAGTCTACATCATTACATCACGTGCAGCTGTCTAACTTTAATACTGTCTTTGCATTGAGCCCTTGTAGTTGCCCAAAGCCACTTTGCCCAGAGACAATTATTAGACGTTAGAAGTGCCAAATTCAAGAGTAAGGCAAACGTTAGGTCGATATGGTGTTACAAAATTCCCACCCTTTGGATTGTGGGCGACAGCCTAGGCCAATGAGAGGAATTTTTTTGAGAAAAGGTATTTGTCTGCGCTAACAAGAACCCAAACATAGGCAAAACCATGAGTACAGATTCATGCTCTGAATAAAGAATCATAAAGGAGAGGTAGGCTTCTGTGAAAAAGCTATGGGCAACATTCTTTCTTTGAAGTGGAGTTGATTTTAAAACAACATCACATTTGAATTATGACACTGCAACCATCATGAATCCCTCATTGATATGCAACATTTATCATCTAAACATGCAATGAGATTCCATTCTTAAGTCTAAACAAATTCAAAATTTAAAAAAAGATAAAGAAGAAAAAAAATGAAACTGCAAACATCCAGATATCTAGTCTGAGAATATCTTTCTTACACTGATTCTCTTGCTGCAAGACCACAATTCAGAGGCACAGCAGTCAAATTCATTTAAAAAATCCACAGCCAATTCAAAAAGCTTGTTTCAGTCTACATAAAAGTCAAAAGGATCGTCTTTGTTCACACGCAGAGTAGGAGGAGTTGGTTGGGGTGTCTCTTCAAGTGGGTAGCAGTGAAGCATTTGGTATTCACTTGGTCCTCCCCAGTCTACCTTCACCTTCTTGTTTTTCTCGTGTCGCAATCTGAAAAAGAATTGAAAAATAAAATCGTCTTCATTTCGGTGGAACACAGAATAGTGTTCAAAGGCACAGCAAGGTATCTACGTCTGAAATGGCTGTATGTCGCTCAGCGTTAGGATGGCAGTATAGCCCTGCTGCTGGTGAATCTAATAACATAATATGCACTTCATGCAAGATAGCCAAGCTATGAACCTTGTACTTTCCCTCAAGAGATATTCCCTAGCAAACACAAGGTATGCTGGTGACCCAGTGGCGATGGGAATGTAGTATACTTTTGATGACAATTGGGGTTTGTGGTTTTTTTTTGTTTTTTAGGGTTAATTAATTTTTCAGTTGATAGGAAATTTTTAATTTTGCCCTATGGTGGCGGCCAAATGTACCCTACTGTTATCGATTTTAGGACCACCAAAGGATCTTTAATGTGTTCAATTTGAACACAGGATCTCCGAGATTTTTCGCCCTCATTGAAGAAGGCTAGGTGTTAGATCTCACCTACCATAAGATCAGGGGCGCGGAAGAAAGACAGCAGAGAGAACAAGCCGAGGAGTAGCAGTAGAAAGGCTGCAGAAAGAGTCAGGAGCCTAGAGGAGGGGGCAAAGGGAGGGGAAGAGGGCAGAGAGAGGAGATTAAAGCAGACGACAGAGCATGGTTAGAGAGCAAGAAAGGAGGTGAAAGAAGAAAATTTAAGAGAAGAAAATTTGCCGTTACAGTCTGGATTTGAACTTGGGACCTATTGCAAGAGAGGCAAAATCCATTACCTCTAGACCATGAGAGCCTCCCTGAGAATTGTTTGAAATGCTGACAACATAAAATTCAATAACTGATTAAGCTAAAAATTCCTGGGAAGTTAATGACAATACTAATCAAGATTTACAAGACAAAAGTGTTCTTGCAAATACTAAAATCAAAACACTCTTTGGGGCACAGACTCAGGCCTACACTAAAATAATCCAACTCGCTCATCTCTTCAGCACATTTTTTTTTCATGATGTCGAGAAAAGAGACCTTCGAAAAGAACTAAATGAACAGTCTAATAATAATAGAATCAATCCGCTGAATATATATGAAAAGACCAATTCTACAAAGAAGAACAGAAGCACACCTATAGATCAACTTGTTGATCATTATTTTTCAAAACATCATCTTTTGTCATTGGTCATTGTATAGATTAAATGACCCTTCCAACTCTGTAAGGTTATTAAATAAGCAGGACCTGTGAGTTAAGGTTTATCTCCAATAGGATAGCTTTAAAAATCCCTACAACAACCCAACGACAGCAGAATTGGAGAAAAAGATTCAGACAACAGAGATGACATGATACCGAAAACTCCTTGACATCTCATACAAGGACCACATTTCAAATGCCGAGGTACGAAACATAATCACAAAAGCAACATGAAGATCTTCTGACCACAGTGAAATGACGAAAATTAAAACTGACAAAACAATCATACAAGGAACCGTACAAGGAAAGAGAAAGAGAGAAAGGCAGAGAAGGAGATGGGACGACAACATCACAGAGTGGACAGGGAAGACGATGGGTGACAATATGAGGAAAGCAGAGGACAGAGAGAAATGGCGAGAGCCGGTTGTCAGATGCAGTGGGGCCACAGCGGTTGCCCCAACCACGGGATAGAAGAAAAAGAAGAACAAGAACAAATACAAGACCATAACCCAACTTCAAAACATTCCTGTCAGGATTCAAACCAGGGCCATCAACTCCCTAGTCCAGAATGATACCAACTGAACTAACGGTGAGCCCTCTCGAAACATTGCAGACATTGATATCTTTATATCATAACGCAAAAAAGATTTATAGGATTTGAGGGCCGACCCTAGTCTTCTAAAAATAGAGGAAAAAAGACAAGTTTTTATAAGTCCGTGTGTAACTCTAAACTATTTGACGTTTGCCTACCGTTTCCCAGTTCCTGTGTCGAAAGGTCGACTCTCCAGCATAGCCTTAATCATGTCATCGTCCACAACGTAGGTCTGCTTCATTCCATATGTGACTTGTGGAGACACACTTCTTGGGCTCTGAAATATGCAAAGATGTAATCCTTGAACATATTCTAACACTTTTCTCCAATTATATTTTTGAACGAGGAAGTGAAAAAAAGTAGTTATCAGGAAGGCAAATTCAAAACTCAAAATGACACTGAAATTCCCAGGTCTCATGCATTTGATTTGTATTTTCACACAATCTCTCTCTCTATATATGCCTAAAAATTATGCCTCCAACAGCTAACCAACTGAGTAATTCTTCCTTTTAAAACTCTGTATTCATTTAGTAATCCGGAACACAAAACAGGCTGGATGACCCATCAACAGGCCATTAATGCGCTCCACAAAATGAAAAGGATAAATTTACACAACATCCATTTTAGTAAAACATCTTTATAAAAAACAACAACAACAAACAAACCTGTTCTCAGTCTCGCAATTAGAAGAAAGAGCAATAACACATTACCTTAGAATCATCCCTGGTTGAATCCTGATGGATGATCTCTAAGGTGGACTGCTTCTCCAGCAAAACAGGGTGAGTGGGTAAGCTCATGGGGTCAACCAGTACATCGTAGGGCACCATGGGATGTTGGTATGTAGCTGGGTTGTGAAGGTCCCACTGCTCCGGCTGGCCAAGAGTACCTGGAGGACAGTTTGTAGAGAGAGGTTTTTTAACCCTTTTTGAGCAATACCGGCCTCAACCGGCCTTCCCATCATGTTGCCACACCCGCTTTTACCAGCTTTCCCGCTGTTGAGCCATATCGGCTTTCACCGGCCTGACACCCCCCCCTTTAGTGCAGGCTTAGAAATAAGAACATTCCACTCTAAATTTAGACGCTGATGTCCTAGGTCTTGGTTTGTGACATTTCATTAGAAAGTATGGCTAAGATCAAAAGTAAAAGCAATTTTTTTGCTGAACCTCTGAAAAACATTGAAATAATTTGGTTCTGGGAAGCCATCAGGTGGCTGCCATTCAATTTTTGGTTCTGCTCCGCTGATCTGCTGTGTATGGTGCTAAGAGGGTTGAAGAAACAAAGAGCAAAATTTACAGTTACAAGCACACCAAAGTGTGCATTCAATGTGGAGAAGGGTACAGGTAAAGTACCGTAAAGTACATTCAGATGCGTGTGTGTGTGCTCGCGTCAGTTACGTGGTAACCGCCACTGAGAGGGATTTCAACAAACACTGGCTTCGATGTATTCCAGGGACATAATTCATCCCCACTCCCTAAGAACCAAGTTGACACAAAGTTTTCGAGCATTGGTTGTTTGAATCTAGATGTATAATATCTATACACACTGTGTATCAAGGTATCAAATATCTTTGGGTGCAAAATAACTATTTTTGCCCAAATTCAAATAAGTGAAGTTCCATTAGAGCACAAACAAATTGAGTTTTCTGAGAGATGCAATGATTAGTGAGAGGATTAAAGGGAAAAAAAAAGTAAAAACTAACGTTGCAGGCACGTCGAGGAGTGTGTTGAATGTGGGGATGGGTACAGCATACAGGTAAAGTAACTCAAGTGTACATTCGGGCCAATGGGGTGTTAGCCTCCACACAAAAAGGATTATAACCAAGACTGGCAGCATTGTATTCCAGGGATGCAACTGGAATTTCTGAGAGATGATTAGCTCACAGTTTGTAAAGAGTGGTATGTGAAATGGCATAGATTCAAAGCCACTATCAACACAATAGGTGATTTAAATTAAGAGGCGGGACCTCCGAGTTTAAAGTCTGTCTCCAAAAGGACTAAGCCAAATAGGAAATTCAAGTCAAGCGCCTTTCCAAAGGACACAGGCTGAGGCTTGAACACCCCAACCTGCATCTCACAATAAAGGGTCCTGTAGCTTAGAGAGACATTTAAAGCAACAAAAAGTCAAGTTTAAAGTTACACATACTAAGGAGTGCATTGAATATGGAGAAGAGGTTATAAGGTGTTAAGAAACAACCTTCGGCCCTTGCCAGATATGATCTAGCAACATAAAAGGCTGACACGCATACTGGTAGGGGGGACCCACTTTCACTACAATAACATGTCATCGTTGGCATACACGTAATTTTATATTTCGAACACATACATTTGCAGAACTGGATAATGTATACTTTCGTACACTTTCATGAGATAATGGCAGGAAGTATGGATGCACGTACCAACGTAGTGTCCCTCGGTGGTCCACAGGCGTACGGTGCAGTCGTTGGAGGCTGTGATGAGAACGTTGGAGCTCTCCACCAGATCCATGCTGGAGACGCTCTCCACATGACCACGCCACTTGCGCAGCACTGGAGAAGGAGAGGATTTACTTTTAGTTTAACCCTATCCGTACGTCTTGTTTTACTATCGTATCCATACGACGTGGGGAACTCTGTGCCACCAGTTTCCAAAGAGGAAATTTACTCGTTAATCCGATCTATACGCTTTGCATAGCAGTCTGTCAAAATTAATTTTTGAGAAATACTGAAAGTATCAAAGAGATCTTCGTACTAGAAGTATTCTAAAAAGTGAAGAATACAACCCCAAGGGTACAAAATGACCCCAGGGTGTACAGATAGGGTTATCAAGCATAGTTTTAGGATACTTGCAACACAAATAGGTCATATAAGTGCCAGCGATTATAGATCTAGGTGTTACTAGAGAGTACCATGCAAAGAAAAGAAGATAGAGAGATAAAGACGACAGATGTTTTATTGAAAAGAAGGAGAAAGCCATACTAGAGCACCTGCCAACCACACATGAGAAAGAGAGAGTGAGAGAGACAAAGACAGAGAGAGAGAGAGCATTAGAGAAACAGACAGACAGACAGACAGACAGACAGACAGACAGACAGACAGACAGACAGACAGACAGACAGACAGACAGACATTGTGTGTGTGTTTGTGTGTGTGTGTGTGTGTGTGTGTGTGTGTGTGTGTTTGTTTGTGTGTGTGTGTGTGTGTGTCCGAGTGAGTATGTGGTTGTGCACAGAAGGGGGTGGGGGTGCAAGGGGGGGGGGGGAGAAGATGAAAATACATGTAACTGTCTTCTGCACTGTCTAAGAAAATACATTTTATAACCTTTCTTGACTTGAATCTTGAGGGGAAAAAAACATCAATATGAGACTTCAAAAATATATGTATGTGAATGAAAAGCAAAAGCTGAGAAACATACACTCCGGGGGCTGCACTGCTGGCTCTGTGAGGCAGTAGGTGGCAATGTCCCACACGTAGATGAAGCCAAAACTGTCACTCGAGAAGAGCAAAGTGTTGTTGCTGTTGCTGAGCAGGTGAGACACCATCCCCCCTTTGACCTTTGACTGAGAAAAAAAAACGAACAGTGGGAAAATATTAAAAGTGAAAATTAAAACATAAAAATGTTGACACATCAACGGGTAAATATCAAAACACTACTGTTAGTAATGCTTTAGAACAATTGGAGTGTCAGTATTTTTATTCAATATGGTGCAAAGCATCTTTTTTTACTTCTTTCAAATACCATTTTAATTCAATTCTCTCACGTTCATAACATTTTGGCAATTGCATTAGAAGAATTTCACAGGACCATTGGAGATGTGATAAAAAACTGAAAAGTCTCCAATTTACATTTTAGATCAGGACTTGACTATATCCTCCACATTTTAGTACCATTTTGACATATCTCCATAAAAGAAATTTGTCAAATCATAGAAGTCATGCTGAAAAGTAAATGGTTGACAAAGTGATAACATTGAGGTTAAAGATTACAATTTCACAATAGATTAAAATTATGAACTGATAGGAAGTGAGAGAACCAAGCTAGGCTTGACTTCACACTTTTAATGTTCTCAGTCTTTAATTGAAATCAAGCTTCACGAAACTCCTTTAAAAATAGCTACAGTAAATGATAAATTACAATTCTGATGAAGTATATAACATCTGTAACCCAGAATAGGAACACCTTCATAGTTAACATTGAGGCTGCTTCCATGAAATATATGCCAAAATAAGTACCAACATAAGTGACTGGAGGACACCAGCAATTGGATCTATTCCGTGTATATATACTCATCATTTCTGTCCATTGTCCTTTTTCTTCTAAAACTACGAAAAATGTGCTTTTGTTTCATTCAAACAATCACACACATGTCATTTCACTGGGTTTACGGGAAGTCTGCATGGTCTTCGCAGATAATGTTAGCATTAAGAGGCTAGCCCAGGATAGAGAAAGGTTGAAAGTGTTTGTTCGTGGCCTGTGCCCGGATCTAGAGTGAGAGAGGCAATGATGATAATGATGAAATAACATTAGCAGTAGGATTCAAAAGGAGCAGACCAAAACAAACATGCTTCGTATAAACGCCACCTGATACTTACACCCTCAAACTGAGCCATGAGGCTTCCTCCTTGAAACACGTTCCAGACATGAATGTGTGCCCGCGGCCCACTTGCCACTAGAGTGCCAGCATCTTTCTTGTAGGCCCGAGTGTGCAAGAACATCAGCTTCGAAATACTGAGGTCCCCATCCACTGCCACCATGAAAAGAAAGGACGATAATTATGAGTGAGATAAAACTGAATCTCGATTGCCCGTGCACTTAAGAAATGCCAGAATGTAAGTGCTTATAACACCACAACTCTGTATATTAAAAAGTTCTTCATGGTCACTTTTAGATTTTGTACCAAAAAAAGGGCCCCAGGACAGTGGGTTTATCCCCCCTCGAAGATAAAGAGTTAAAAATTGATCAACTTTCGCACAAATGTTGTATCCAATTATATTCTCAACTTGAAAATTAGAAATGCCCACAATAGTAAATATTTACATCAGAAAAACATACATATATCATCGGCTAGCTGTTCAAAAGTACTAGGCCCTAAATTTTAATTTTAAAAAATATATATTGTTTTGTAATCTGTGGTATTAGTTAGTAGTAGTAGTATAGGGTTTTACGGCGCTCGCAACTGCACGAGCTCGAGAAAATATTTAATAGGTAACCAAACTTCAAATTCTGAAAGTCGAGAAAAAAAAGTACGGAAAATACATTTTAAAAAGTAAAGTTTTTTCTCCTCCCAAAATTTTTTGCTTTCTGTGTTCAGGGAAGCATTTTAACAGCTTGCTGACAATACATCATAGGTATATGTATAAGCAAAAAAGTAATCCTCTCCTGCCTCAAAAGTAGCCAAATGCTGCAATTTTCAATATTAAGAGAGCATCCTTCTTTACTTCCCCTTTCACAAAAAAGTATATCAATTCAGTCCAAAAAAAACCAACAACCCCAAAACAAAATAATACACCCAAAAAGAGCAATAACTGTAAGCACATGGTCACCTACATGATTGATCTTCATATCCTGGTGGAGCTGGGGGGATAAGGTGGCAGAAGATGTGTCCTGAGACCATGTTCCAAACAATGACCTCTCCGTCATAGCTGGCCGTCGCTAAGAGATTGGGCAGACACTGAGCCACTGCCATCACGTCTTCCTTGTGACCATCTCTCTGAAATAATAATTGATATTAAAATAATAATAACAATACTACTACTATTACTACTAATAATAATATTAATAATAACAATAATAATAATAACAACAATAATAATAGTGAGTTTGTATGTGCGTATGTAAGTATGTGTGTATGTATGTGCGTATATGTGTGTGGTGCGTGCATGCGTGAAAATTTTTGGGCACTCGTTTGTAATACTATGTGCCTTTAAAATTGATTTGTAAATCCATAATATGTATCATGTTAAGCGCATAGAGCATTGCATAAGTGGATATGCGCTATATAAATGCTATCCATTATTTATTAATAATAATAATAATAATAATAGATAGCATTAGTATAGCTTCAATTCCTGCTCTACAGCAAGCTCTATGTGCTTTACATTCTATATTATTACCCTAGCAGACCTGATAGCATTCTGAAACAATCTCAATTTTCTGGGAAGCATACAGTGCAAGCTGCCATTTTTTATAAGCAACACGCTGCATTTTATGTTTGGAGAATACGGAGCAACATAAAGTGCTCCATGCCCATATTTACTCCATTATATTATAACAAAAACAAAAAGACCTCATTTGGTATGCGTGATAAACAAAGGAAACCAGAACGCTGCTCCAACCCAGCAACAGAAAAATCTTGATGAAAGCATCAACACGGTTTTCCAAATCTTCTTTACCACTATATCTCCACACAAAATAAGAGCTGTCAAAACAACAGTAAAAAAACCTGGAAGTAATTAAACCCTATCCGTACGTCGTGTTTTACTATTGTATCCATACGATGAGGGGAACTCTGTGCCACCACTTTTTAAAGAAGAAATTTACTCATTTATCCGATCTGTACGCTTTGCATAGCAGTCTGTCAAAACGATTTTTTGAGAAATACGGAAAGTTTCAAAGAGAACTTCTTACTAGAAGTATTCTAAAATGTGAAGAATACAACCCGGGGGGTACAAAATGAACCCAGGGCATAAGGATAAGGTTAAACAGTGTCCTTCTCTTCAACTTACAATATCATCGTTCCAATACGGAGTGGGATGCTGCACATGATGGATGTTGTTGTCGTTGTACGAGTCATAGTAGATGTTGATCCGGCGATCCCATCCAACAGATATCACGTACCTGAAAAGACAATTTTTCGTTGCTGGCTTTAGAATTACATTTGTATGTATCTGCAATATCAATGACTGAACAGTTAATTGCAATGTGCACTTACCATACGGAAAAAAACTTATATTTCATTTTTCACCATTTTCTATTACCTGGTTGTATACTGATGGTACAATTTAACAAAACAAGCAATAATTGCACAAACTTAGGAACAGTTTTAAATCTGAAGCAAACCATGAAGGTTGGTGATGCTTATTTTAAAAATCCTGCAACGACCAAAGTGTATGCGCAGATATAAATACCTTTTTTAACTGTGGATTTCATTTGACCTGTAAGGAAAACATTGAACTACTAATAAAATTGGAAAAGATTTCTTCCACTGTACAACATTCAACTGAAGTTATTACAATAAGTTATTTCACACCACACACAGCATTGTTTCAGGACCCTGTTTTATCATACGAGTTCTGTTGGGTAGTAATCGTTCGGATCTTGACTACCAGTTCAGTCTTTAAGTAAACACAAAGCTAAAATCAATCAGTTGTACAGCAACATCAGCACATGACATGAAAACACAACACTACAGGACAGACAAGGAAAGTCCCTGAAAGATAAATGAGTCAACCTTCTAAAGTATCAACAAACCAGACTCTGTTTCATTTTTTAAAGTTTTAGTAAGAGTTTCACGGCACTTGCAAAACAATAAGGTCATACAAGTGCCGAAGAATAGAAGTCTTACAAGAGAGTAACAAACACAAAAAAGGAGGAGAGATAAGGAAGATAGATGTCTGATAGGAAAGAAAGAGCAAACCACACCAGAACACCTGCCAACCACTTGCAGACTCTGTTTCAATACTATAATCAGGAATACAATCCTCAACACATCAGCAGAAGCCTCTTGTACCATCATACAGGGAGGTAGTACTGAATCAAAACTAGAAAAGGATAAATTGCTTGCGGACTCACCTATTTTTGTTCATCTCAATATACGTCACATCGCAAATTTCATCGCTGCTGGATTCTGAATAGAAAAAGAAAAAAGTAGATCACTTTATGGACACTGGAAGATGAAGGGTGGAAATAAGTATAAAAGCATACTTTTTTTTCATGACATGTCAAGACCTATGTTAACATTTTCACATTAAAGCAACATATATTCTTGATATGGGTAGAAAGATTTTATTCGATGCACAAATGAATGAATCTTATCAGGCCCCCACCCAACATACACACAAACACACAGATGAACACACACACAAACGAACACACACAGTCAAAAATTCCTCCAAACCAACAAATCTTCTTCGGTTTATTACACAAACTGAGAACAAAGTTAGTAGAGTAAATTTGGTCAAGAGTGTGACTAAACTAGAAGTGCAAACTTCTCCTTCATCCAGATTATGCATGTGGGAAACATTACAAGGCCACCATTCTTTGATATTGGATAGAAATTTGTGTAAAAACACACTTGAGCCTTCCATTCCAAACTTACTTAACCTACAAGGCACACCCACAGTCTCCACAGTCAGAGGGCCACATTTGTGTTGCTTTGACATCACTCAGGAAAGATGATTTTAACTTATTCTTAGAATCATCATCATCATCATTGCCTTTCTCACCCTGGATCAGTATAATATAGGCCACGAACAAACACTTTCCACCTTTCCCTATTTTTAGAATGGGGATCCAAATCTACTTTTGCCAAAGTTTGTTTGTTTGTTTGAAAAAGACACAAACCCACCTGAATCAGACTTTCCTTTCTTCTTAAGCACCCGTAGACAGTGGCCATTGTTATAATTCCAGATTCTCAAGATTCCGTCTCTACCCCCTGTGATCAGCCTGAAGGGTTGAGGGAAAGAAAAATCACAAAGATCAGTAACGGAGAAAAGAATCTCTGAGTACATCTGTAGTGTATATGCATGTTTTATCCTTTTAAGAAAAAAAATATATATATTTCTCTGCACTAAATCATTTGAAAGGTTTTGTTGCTGGATCATGAAACTTATAAACAAAAAGGCACAAATCGAGAAGAAAAAAAGCGGTGACCACAAACATAATACAATAAATCAACTTTGCAAGTTAAGTAAGTGTGTGGGTTTGATGTCCCTTTCATTACTGTAAGGTTATTTAAGAGGCAGAACCTCTGAATTTAACATATATTTCCTACAGGATCAAACAAAATGAGTTGAGAGTCTAAAAAATTCAAGAAAATGACCAAAGTTCAAGAGCACCCTTTTTAAAATTCAAACTAGGGCCATTCTCTCCACTTTACAGCAAGATACCAACTGAACTAATAGAGTGCCCAATTTTATATAGTGCCTCACACATACTTTAAAAATTCTATATTGCTTGTTCCCCCCCAAAAAAAAACCCAACAACAACAACAACAACAACCCCACATCAAATATTGCAATCCTGTAAATCCTTCATAATAATATAAAAATCCAAATTCAAAACAAGTAGTTAGCGTTTCATATTTTTCTTGACCATTGATGAACATTCTTTGACCTTAAAAATAACCCATCATATGATTTTTAAATTATACAATACGCGTTTCAGAAATATTTGAATAACTACAAGCATGAGTCACACAGAGTTCATCTCAAATACTGTCACAAGGATAGGGTGTGCTGACCTTCGACCTGTATTGTCAAAGGTCATACATGTAATGGCCTCCTCTCCATGGGCCTCTCCAAACTCAAAGATGGCTGAACCAGTCTCAAAGTCCCATAATTTTATCACCTGAAAGACAAATTTAAGAAAAATTGAAATAAAAAAACACAACAATAACTAAATATCAACAACGCTCGAGCATGTTAGCTTTTATCATGCAAAACTGAAAAAAGAATAAAGGGCAAATTACACGTTTTTAAAATGGTGATTATGTGTTCTTTCAGAAATGGGGAGCTAAATAGGCCAACAATGCAAATTTGCGAACTGTAAAAGTGTGTGTGAGCAAAGCGACATATCGATTATGTTTCGTATTCATGACATTTTTCTCCTAAATAACTTTGACACATGAAAGGAAATTTACATATTTGTGTTCAGTATTATTTCCTCTTTTGAAATGTTATTCCTTTTTTCACACTGAGGGGGGTTTTGTCTTTCCACTCATTTGTATTTTCTTTTTTTTTCTTTTGAGTCAGACGTATGTACATACAGATCTGTTGTCCTCATACCATTTTATTTGAATAGTATACTGATTCTTCCATTTTACTTTAGAAGTGGTTACCAACATGATGGCCAAGACATAAAACATGGTTAAACAAATCGGAGTAAAACACCTAGGATTTCATTGACCATTCACAAATAATTTTCACAAATACTTCTGCTCTCAACTCAGTCCCCAGATATGGGGCACAAAGTAGTACTTTCAAAACAAACTTCAAAATGTTAAGTAAGACCTTGCAGATCACCAACATCAGGGTGTAATGGTTGGGCGCATATTCATCGCACACAGAACATATGAGTTTGATTCCAGAACATATGAGTTTGATTCCCATATGGGCAAGATGTGCTATCCAGTTTCTCAGTCTGTAGGCTGGGATGTTGTATCCCTTTCATCTGGGTTGGTTGGCCTTGCAGACTGGACTGAAGCAGCCTATCTCCTAAATGATCTAAATTATATCGATGGCGGAGTAAAACATCTACATTTACAATAGCAACCTTCTTGATCAACTCAAAAAGAGGATGGAAACAAAATATATGAACATTATGGTAGTGTTGGCTGTCTGTTGTTCTTTGTTAGTCTGAGCGCTGGGCTTCAAGGTACCGCTTCCTCAGGTACCATAAGCTTTATGACCTCTACTTAAGGCATTTAACTAAGATAGGAGAGTTCATGGTGTGGAAACCAAGGCTTTGAATTTGAGTAAGTCGTAGCGTAAATGCGGGGTAGAAAGGATGTAGAAACTTTTGTGAGTGCCTTCTTATAGTGAATAAAACTACAGTTCTTGAACTCTGTGTTTGTTTTAATCTCAGTATACCTTAATAAATTCACACAAGGACACCACAATTATGATTTCCCTCAATCCTCACCGAGCCACTGCAGCATGTGATGACCTGCTTGAACTCCGGGTTATACTTGCAGCACGTCACCGGGTCTTTGTGAGTGATTACCATGTCTGCATTCAGCATGGCCCTGGCCGGGGAGGTTGGGGGGGGGGGAGGGAGGGGAGAATAGGTCATTATCAGAGAGGAACCAACTGGTAACTGAGTAATCTTCACAGATGGCTCTAAATCGGACTCAGCTGTGGTGCCGCCGCCCTGTCCTCAAAAAGTACACATCAGAGGAGACTCCATCCCGAAGCTTCCATTTTCTCTGTGGAGGCCACTGCCATTGACGTGGCATTGGACTCCGTACAAAAATCCCTTAAAACATCCTTTTTTTATTCTGTCTGATTCCCTGTAGTGCATCACCTCACTCATAATTGCCGATGTCTGTTGCAGATTTGGCACTTGATGATGATGAGGGACGAACCCATCTAAAAGGTATACTGTTGATACCCATCTCACATGGGATGCATATCTTTGTTAAGCATTTTTGGCTAGATGTAGTGCTACTGCTGACAAAAAATTATTATTTCATGCCACTCGTGGAGCAATGAGCTTTGTTTTCTATGACATACACAAACATTGAAGAAGCATACCTTTTATGTGTTTTCGAAGTGAGCAGAATAGTGAAGTTTCAGGAGAAATTCAAAAGAAGGTCACCCACAATCAAAGAGAAAAATGCTTGCCCTAGACAGGTTAGCGTCTTGAACATTGTCATGATGGTGTAGAAAAAATACAAGGGAGGAAATTGAGAGAATTCTTTTGTACAGGTGATTGTTCTTGGACAGGTGACCATTAATGCAGGTTTGACTGTACCTTTTCCTGTATAACATGTCAATTATTGCCACAGTATGCATCTCATTAAAAAAAACATGCATTCTCAGCTTTCATCTGATTCTTTTTACCCCACTTGTTCTCTGCAGATCTCATAAACAAAAACATCCATTCTAAGCTTTCATCTGTTCTCTTGCTCTCCACAGTTCAAGCGAGTGTTCATCTCCCTTTCACTCTGGTTATAAGAATAAAAGAAAACCTATTTTCAATTTTATCGCTGCCTTCACCACTTGTGTATCAAATCAAACAGAATCATAAGACACAAATGTAGTGCGTGCTGAACAAAAATGAGTTACTTCTCCGATTTGAGCCCTATGGAAATAGATATATCATGCTAATAGGTGAAGTTTTTACAATTGTATGAAATAATAAAAGGCATGTTATACTTTAAAAATATAGCATCAAAAGAAAATCTACAAATTTGAATCCAGGATTTATTTTTGGCCAATATCTGGATTTGTGGACTGCGAGAAGTATCTCATTTCGTCAGCACACCTCTCATTAATCTCCGACAGGAGAAAGAAAGCTACTCACTTATGTCTCAGGTTGAGGATGGCCATTTGGTCTGTCGCTACTGCCAAGGAACGGGAGATGGATGAGTAGTGGATGGCCTGGAGGTCTCCGCGGATCTTGTGACTTTTGGGACGGATGGCAAGGAGACATGTGTGGTCTTGGATATCCCACACCTGATCAAACAGAACCCATAAGTCAAACAACAAAATATAGTCTGACATTTCAGGTTCTTTTATGGGGCCTTCAGGGAATTTGTCTTAACAAACTACAATACTGTCCTAAGCTGACAAAATACCTGTTTTAATTTTTTGCACACAATTATAAAATTTGCTAAATCGATAGCCTGATTAGTTACCTTACTTGTGTGAAAAAATCAAAGTAAAACTGTGACTAGTTTTTTAATAGATTAGAATTCAAATTTCGGAAGAACACCTTTTTAAAATGGTAACATTGAGAAAACATCTTTTTATCTCAAAACTGTTGTGGCGTCGGTGGCCTAGTGGTTAGTGGTTAGGCTCTCGGACTCGCAACCGTAAGGTCGTGGGTTCGAATCCCGTCAAGGGCCCGACGTTGTGTCCTTGGGAAAGGCACTTTACACGAATTTTCCTCACTTCACCCAGGTGGGAATGGGTACCCGGCTATAGACAGCGAAAGATCTTGTCAGTTTGTTAGTGTTTGAGCGCTTAATCGGCTGCTTGCACTGTATGCATCCCGGGAAGCTGAGAATGTTTCGGAGCGTTCTATGGTCTGCTGGGGTAATAATATAGTGTAAAGCGCATAGAGCCTGCTGCTGAGCGGGGATATGCACAATACAAATGCTATCTATTATTATTATTAATAAGAAAAAGGCGTTTTATCAGCGTACGGCAGAACAGTCCCTCACAATCAGGACTGTCTTTTTTATATTGTGGAAGATTCCATCATGAAAATAATATTATAGAGAATGAACTAGTCATAAGAAAGGTATGGGGGTTCTTAAAGCAGAATTGATTTGTCATAAGGAGCGAATCATTACTCTGCAACATGACGATGGCACTGCTCGACCTTAGAATTACAAAGTTCTATCTACTCAGTACATAGTTTTGAGAAATTTGACATCTAAATTTTTTAGTTACACAATATGTCAAGCTTTTTCAAATGCAATTTTTTTAAATATCTTGATAACGACGCAGAATAATCTGTTACGACTTTGACAGAGCAAATAGAGCATTTAATTTCTGGGTGATAGATGTTTGATAGGAAAGAAGAGGCAAACCACACCAGAGCGCCCGCCAACCACCCACAACTAAGACAGATAGACAGGAAACAACAGAGGGAATGTAAAGAATAAGGACCAAGCAGTAGCGCCCTTTAACCACCTGCAAAAATAATCAGAACTATTTGTCTCTTATATGAGCCAATGAATCAGGCAAACACAGCTTACCCTGATGCACCGGTCTGTGGAAATACTGAAAATTCTGTTGTCTTCTTCAGCGATGAACAAGTAAAATATGGGAGCTGCATGTCCCCTTAGCATGGCTGTGGGTTTCCTGAAAGAGACAAAAAAGTCTGAAATCTGAAACAACTGTCTGTACCAAAGGAAAATTATCTTGAGTACAAGAGATGAGTTTAAGACATAACCATTGACCATTGCAATATCTGACCCTGGTCCATCTCATCAATTCTTTGTACATTTGCCCTTTAAAATGTCTGATTCTGTTTTTAATTTCTAAGGTAAGAAAACATCTTTACTTCAATTTGAAATCTTGTGTTCTCTGAAATGACTTTCTTTCAAAAAGATAACTGACTTTTAGAGCCTTAAATTTGTTAAACTTTAATTCTAAATGAAGGAATGACTATTAAAGAGTTAATTTTTACACACAATGCTGTATTTTGAAAAAATATAAATGAGCTATCTGTTGTAAGACAAGGGTGAAGAACAGCATTTGGATCAAAGGCATATGGACTAAAGTCAATTTTCAAGTGTATGCAAAAAACGAGCAAGGACTACTTCCTTATAAGACAACTTCACTGACATCTGCTTGAGAAAACACTATACAACTCTAGATATATACATATATTTGCAAATTTTGTTGACCAAGTTGAAAAATAAGAATGATTACAATATGAACAATGATAATAATAATTCTTAAAATGTAAAAAGTAAAAATAATACTAATAATCACATAATAACAAAATAATAATAATAATAATTTGAAATAATAATTATGATTTTTTTAGAATAACAATTATAATCGCATTAATAAAAACAAGAATCTACTTTGACCATCCTTACCAATTTACATAAGGGTTCCACAATCTGATGATTCTGTCCATGCCTGTAAAGTCATAAAAGGTCTTGTCAGGGATAACATTAAAACAACAGAATGGCCTCATCATACAATAGTTTAACTGGAAATTACAAAGCCATAGAAAAAATATCACACAATCTGCGCAAAGTGATTGCAGTGTGATATTGCATTGACATCAAAGGAAAGTCTTATTGTTCCTAAGAAATATGTTCTCCTTTTATAACAGCAAAGTTGCGGGCCTTAAAGCTGTCACAAAAACCAAAAGCTACAACCAATTTGAAAATAAAACAAACTCAACGTATTAATATCATGCAAGGCAAGTTTGAAGCTTAAATAAAAGATGTGCTGGCACTCATGAGCTCACAGTAAAAAGAGAAACCCTAGTTATGTTTTATGGCACTCTCAGCACCATATTATGTTCATTCAAGAAGGGGACATCCATACAAACAAGGATGGGGAAGAGATTGATTAATCCAGATTACCAGCTGTTATTACCCTACCAGACCTTAGAACTCAGAAAATTCTTTACAACTGGTATCACCCCAACAGACTCTAGAACACTCAGAAACATTCTCGACTTTTTCCCTTGATCCCTGCAGTACTCACCTCCAGTGACAAGCATGTTCTTGGACTTTGAGAAATCAAAGACTTTGACCCCTTTGTAGACTTTGAAGACCTGCTGGTCAGCTTCTAGTCTCTCCTTGGCTTGGCTATAAGCGTACTTGTTGCGAGGTCTTTCGTGGCTGGTGTTCATATCTTTAATTTCCTTCAGCTGCTGTTCCACGTGGGTGCTGCCTACGGTGGATCCTGGAATTCGTTTGAGTTTAGTTTAGTCTTAGTAAAAGTTTCACGGCACTTGCGACACAATAAGGTCATGTAAGTGCTGAAGAAAAGGTGTGTTACAAGAGAGTAACATACACAAAAAAGAAGGAGGCGAGATAAGGACGAGAGATGTTTGAGAGGAAAGAAGGAGCAAACCACACCAGAGCACCAGCCAACCACCGACTAGTTTCACTTTATTTGTTTTAGTAAAGAGAATTGCATTGACATCGTAACAGCCAATTACCAAACAGGGAAAAAAGTAAGAAAGACAGAAATATACCACAGAGAAAGAAAAGAAGTAGGACCTACCAATAGCACCTTCTAACCTACCCAACTCCTGAAAAATCATGAGATAAATGAGGGGAAACTCATATAATAAAAAGACTACCTAGTCTAAGTTTAAATTTGATAAATATTATTCGGCACTTCCAACACAAACAGGTAATTTAAATGCCGAATATTAGAGGTGTTATAAAAGCATAACACACAAAGAAAAAAGAAAAGAAGTAGGTAGGAGAGATTAAGGTGATAGATCTTTGATAGGAAAGAAGGAGCAAACCACATCAGAGCACCCACCAACCAACCAACCAACCACATTCCCTAATCAGGTCTAGAATTCTAGCTCATTATTCTTTTTCCTCTTTACAGTAATATCTTATATGTAGTACAAGTATATTTGAGACATGGTCAAACAGTTTTATGATTCATCTATAAATTGTATAAAGATGATAGAATCATATTCACACAAGATGATTAGTTTAGCAAGAGTTCTACAGCACTCACAACTGCATAGGGTCATATGAGAGCGCGATATGCAACATACAGCACTCACCAATCACCAAGGCTGTGTTGGTGTTGTTGGAACATGAGATAACCTGGCCTGTTTCTTGATAGTATTTAATCTGGAAAATCCAAAAACGTGTTCGAATAAAACAAAACAATTTCTTTAGAAACATAATAATCACATTTCACTAATTGCATACGAAGGCATCAGTTTGAATGTTTATCCATTGTATGGTCAACAACAGCAAAGAGTAGGCCTAACGCTATTTGTGAGGCAGCGTGGTGAAATCAGGCGCTCATCATCATTAACAAGGAAACAAGGGAAACAAGGAAATCAACATTTTTCAGGCCGATCAGTAATATTTTTCTAATTTTCTTTTATTTGGCTAAAAACCCACAGAAAAATGTAGATCAAGGGCACAAAAATTGTAAATTTGCAGTTTCCAAAGACACTCAAGCTTTGAAAGTCACCAAACTTTCGCAGCCATTTTTTCACTAATTTTATCTCTGACATCAGGTGACCCCCCCACCTCCTTCAGTCACAAATGTCTATTGACTTCTATTCAAGATAGTTGGGTATCTTTGTCGCCAAATGCAAGACAAATGAACAAGCTTTAAGACCATACTTTTAACTCCATGTGCCCAAAAATTGTCTGCCTTTAATCAATGCTTTTCAGAAAAATCAACACAAATGATTTTTAAAAAGGAGATAAAAGGTGTTGAGCCAAAAAACAATAATCCATAAAAATTGCCAAACCATCATTACTTTGACAAGCGATTGATTTCACCACGTTCCTCACATATGCAACCAAGTGTTTCCTCAAGTTTAAAACGTTGCCCTCCATCAATCATTCTCCAAACATAGAGATTGAACCTAGTCACCGCTACCTCTTAGCAATTGATATAAATCAATACATAGACTAACAGATACAGGGATAAGACAGACAGATGAAGGGGTAGAAGGATAGAAAAGATAGGAAGAAAGGGCATACAGACAAGGATATAGTCAAAATGAAATGCATACAATAGAAAAAAGCCCTCTCATTAACATCCCTAAACCTAAAGATTTTGTATCGACATCAACTTACAATGAGTAAAAATACTTTGGGTCCAAAATAGTCAAAGTGATTCTCTTCCCCCAATTTCTTTTTAAAAAAGAAAAACTTTAATTTGAAAATCTCCATCAAAATGAAACAAAGAAGTGAATATCCTGCAGCCATTTTCTGCTTTTTCCAGTTCCAACCCAAACTCAGAGGCAAAGGCTCTCCTGTACTAACCTGTCCCACCCAGTCTTGGTGAACCTGCCAGCGAATGAACTGGACGTTGTTACCATTGGCGATGGCATCCAGACTAATGCTTGCAATGAAATCATCGTGCTTTGTTGCTTTTTTCCATGTTCTGCAATTTTTAAAAAGACGGAATATATATAATTCAAATCAAAAGCAGAACATGCAAAGGGAAACATTTTCCTAATTTAGCCCCCCTCGAACCACAAAGTCTAGAGTTATATCATAATATTACTTATTCTTCCCCTGTAAATGTACATCAACACTCATGGAACAGCTACAAAGCCAAAGAAGCTGATACAGGTCAAAGAGAAGAATATTTACATGATGACTGTAATTAGGTGTTAAAAAGCAAGAGACATGCAGAAATAATAAAGGGATAGTAGTCATCATTATAAAGGATGCTCTTGAAAAAGCTACATTACCCTGACCTTTCCCTGTCACCCTTCTGCTTAAGTTCTCCAAGTAAGTAGCTCTACCCCAGCATCGTTTTCCTTCAATTTTGTCTGTGAGAGCTAGATGTTCACGGCCTTTATGTCTATTTAGGTGTCCCAAAGACTGCGTTTGTCTAGTTTTTTCTGATTGCTTTTACCAGTGAGCGGCCCACATCATCAAAAACAAAGAAAAATAAGACTCTATACCTGAGACACTCTCCAGCGGACTTGATGACCAGAATGTTCACACAGCCTTGACTGTCCCCGTACAGAATGACACACTCATCATAGCCTGTGGCACTGTCCAAAACAACAAATAGCATGTCATGTCATGCAACATTTCACTTTTGTCTTGACAACTGGAGAGTCACAGATATTTGCAATACATACGTTCAGGGCTGTTATTTCAACATGCGCAAACAAAGTTCATCTCCCTTCCAGATAAGTTCAGGAATTATTTTTCATATCGTTTGAACAAAATCAAGAAGAGCTGGTTTGCCCCCCCCCCCCCCCCAATTTGTTCTTTTAAAATTAAAAAATAAATAAATAAATAATTCACAATGGATTCGAAAACAGTAGAAGAGCCTGCTGTCTTTATATAGTGTGTTTTCTCATTTGTTGCCTATGACATAGACATGGAAAGAATAAACTTATACTAAAAATGATATGTATGAGTTTAACTGTCTTTTAAAGATAGAACAGTTAATCAAACAGAGGGACTTCTGACATTAACGTCCATCTTCTGTGGGACCAAGCCAAGAGGCAGTGGAGCCTTGAAAACATGCCAAACAACTCATGATCAAGGATGTTTTTTTTTGGGGGGGAATCTGCACAGTAGTCCTGCAAGCTATTAAATGAGCTTCAGCATGCTTAAACTTCTGCATAAAAATAATTCCTATACCTACAGTTTCTTCGTTTAAGACTTACTTTTTTAAAAACGAACTTTCAGTATAAACAGCCTGAGTTCAATTAAATGTGAAGCCGAGAACAAAACAGTCTGAAGTTGTTTCATCATCGTAGGCTACATGTCATGGTTTTGTTCTCATGGATCTACTAAAAATTAAGCCACAGTAAAAAAAATTCCAACTCTGAATTAAAAAAAACAACCCAACAAATAGATATCATCACTTCAAAAGTCACGACAACTAATACAAAAACCTTCTTTATCCACACATATTTAAATTTCACAAAATGAATATATTATACCTGTAATCCAGCTTGAGAGGAACAGTCTCCAAACCACTGATCTGGCAGTAGGGCTCAAAAGAGGACAACTCAAAAAACTGAATCTCTCGATCTCTGAAAAGAGAGAAACCAACAACTGAATCATCATCCCGGCATCACACCCGCAAAATGACCGTTACAGAAATAATATTTCATTTTGGTAAGTAGCCTACACGGGAAAAAAGGTAGAGGCCTTCAAAATATTGATCCACTGAAAGGTGATGGAATTTAGTTTAAAAGACAGTATATTGAATGAGCAAGTGTTCGTTTTACTTAGGAGTCCAGAAAAAAGTCAGGAAAACAGCCAAAAATCATAACCTGACATATTTTAGACACATGATGAGTCATAGTAAAGTAAGTACTAAAATCAATGTTGACAGTAATATTGGAAGGAAAGAGAGGCAGAGGACAACCTAAATATCAAAGGACACATGGCATAAAAGACTGTACATGAAACAAAAGACAGGCTGAGTGCATGACAATGATGTAGTACAGATATGCTGGGAGAGCCATAAAGCACATCTACCCCAGCCCAAAAGTGCTACTCAGTTTTGTTTTTCATAATCCCTAAAGTAAAGGAAAAAAACGTGAAACTATATAAAAGGGTACTTGTTTTGTTACAAAGTTGTCCAGTTTGGATGACAAGATCATCAGTGTGGTTCTTAGCTCTCGTGAGGACAATAACGATAATATCTAGACCTGTACTTGAGAAAACAGCTTTGTACTACGTTTACTAGGTTCACATAGCTGTAAATAGTCACTTTGCATCAGTAAAAGCAGAAACATGACAATGATAGAATTAGGGCCCTCAGCCTTATGGCTAAGATCAAACTGAAGTATCTGATCTGTTCCCAACTTTTCGGTCTTGTGCTTAGTCCAAAGCGGGACGGATACAAACTGAAGCTGAAGCCTTGGATTTTGTTATATTTAGCGGATGAAAACGTCCTCTTTAAAATTAAAAAAAATCTGCATTTTGACCCTAGACATACTGCAATGTTATGTTATCCTTGGAGGGAATTGAAAATGGAACTTTAATAATGATTTAAACAAAGTGATCTTTGTCCACTGTGATGGGATTGGGCTCAGAGATAGGCTACTAATTAATATGGGCCCTTAGCACTCCTTGAAGGACCAGGGCAACGTACCCTGTGCCCACAATAAGCTTGGTGAACTGCGACATGAGACAGAAATCTGTGATCCACTTGGGCTTGGTCCTGTTGTTCATCTCTTGGTTCTGCACAAGAAAGTGTATTTTGTCACAGAAATTGTATGATTAGACCTTTATTTTTTGGGGTGACAGTTTTACGGTGTTTGCAACACAATAAGGTCAAATAAGTGCGGAAGATTAGAGGTGTTACAAGAGAGTAACAAACACAAAAAAGAAGGAGAAAAGATAAGGACGATCGATGTTTGATAGGAAAGAAGGCGCAAACCACACCATAGCACCCACCAACCACCCACAATAAGAGTTTTACGGCGTTTGCAATACAATAGGGTCATATAAGGGCGGAAGATTAGAGGTGTTACAAGAGAGTAACAAACAAAAAACATGGAGAAAAGATAAGGACGATCGATGTTTGAAAGGAAAGAAGGGGTAAACCACACCAGAGCACCCACCAACCACCTTCACACAACATAAAAGCACTTATGATGACTAACAACCTCCTACTCAAGAAGAACAAAACAGTAAACAGAGGCTAGTAACAACAACAATCTTGCAACAAAACAGCACTTCTTATCAAGACTGTCTGTCTGAGAGGAAAAATAAAGTAAACTAAGACAATTAACAAATACCACAGCCTCACAACGAAATAGCATTTACGATGACCATTAAACCACCTCAAGAGCAAGAGGAAGACAATACAACAGAAAAAAAAAGAATACAGTCAACTATGGCATGTAAAAACACGACAATCTCACAACAAAAATATCACTTACTGAGGCAATAAACTAATTACAATAATCGTAATAATAGATAGCATTTGTATAGCGCAAATTCCTACTCAACAGCAAGGTCTACGCACTTTACTTTCTATACATTATTACCCAAGCAGACCTGATAGCATTCTGAAACAATCTTAACGTCCTGGGAAGCATACAGGGCAAGTTGCCATTGATGGGCACTAAAACACTAACATACTAACAAGACCTTTCGCTGTCTTTGGCCGGGTACCAACTCCCACCTGGGTGAAGTGAGGAAAATTCGTGTAAAGTGCTTTTCACAAGGACGCAATGTCGGGCCCACGGCTCGAACCCCCAAACCTGTTATCTCATGATTATGAGTCCAGTAGCTTAAACAAGACTACCGACTACGTACCAATCATTTTTTGTTTGTTTTGGGTAAGTGTTTTACAGCGCTCGCAACTATATAATGAGTGTGCAGGACACATTAAGCCTTCCAAGTTTGGTAGGAATTAATTTGGAATTTTGCCCGGATGGCAGGCGAAGCCTACTCTTAGCAGTATTAGGACCACTTTAACGTGCACAACTTGCACACAGGATTTCCAGGATTTTTTTCGCCCATATCCGAGAAGGCTAGGTGTTCAATTTTACCAACCCTAAGATAAGGGCTGTGGCTGAAAGACAGCAGTAAGGAGATGGGAGAATGGCAGTAGAAAGGCAGCAGAAAGAGTCAGGAGCCCAGATGAGGGGGCAAAGGTGGTGGGGGGGGTGCAGAAAGTGGAGTCGAAAGCAGACGACAGAATATGATTAAAGACCTGAACAAGAGGTGAAAGGAGAACATTTTAAGGAAAAAAATATTCCGTTGCTGCCAAGTTTCAAACCCAGGACCTCTTGAGTGGGCGAACACCGTACCTCTCGACAACGAGAGCCCCCACATAATAACAAAAACAAAAACTCACGATTACGAGTCCGGTAGCTTTACCACTAGACCACTGACCCCATAACATACATCCAACAACAAAAGCACCACTGGCGATTACGAGTCCAGTAGCTTAGCCACTAGACCACTGACCGCATAACATATATCTTACCCAAAAAAACCAGCGCTCACGATTACAAGTCCGGTAGCTTAACCACTAGACTACTGACCCCATAACATATATTATCTTACACTTACAACAAAAACACCACTCACGATTATAACAAATCTGGTAGCCTAACCACTAGACCACTGACCCCATAACATATAATTAAAAAAAAAAAACATCTTACAACAAAACAGCACTCACGATTACGAGTCCGGTAGCTTAACCCTTAGACTACTAACCCCATAACATATATCTAACATCCAAAAAACATCACTCACGATGACAGTCCGGGTCCGCTTGAGCTCGGTGCTGGGAGACCAGAAGGTCACCGTGCCCTCGTGGCTGCAGGCGATGAACGTCCCGTCTGACGTGTCTGTGATCCTCAAGACGGGGTCCCGGTGAGGCAGGTTCTCGATCTTGGCGGGCAGGTGGAACGCCACTTCCTTGGCCCGGAGGTACGAGTCCTCCTTCTCGGCATATTCCAGTTGCATGTACGTGCAGAACTCATCCCACGTGATCGTTCCCTCCGACGACCAGTCAATTTTCATAAAAAGGGAGTCCACTTGCGCCTCCTAAAAAATGGTGAAATTAAGTAATTTTGCCATATTTGACATTTGTAATTTGGAGTTCTTATTAAAAAGCAACATTTTTGCCGCACGCGTAATTTGGGTTTTTTTAAGCAATATTTTTTTTACCGCAGTTGTAATTTTGGGTCTTTGAAGAGCAACACTTTTGCCGCACTTTACTCTCTGTGCGTTATCCAAAATTAAGAACGCGTTTTCTTTGAAGAAACACAAAAGGGGAGAGGGAGGGGGGGGGGGGGGCAGGAATCGTCAGCAAGAAGCCAATTAAAAAGTACACATCTATTTCTGCACTCGAAAGAGAAAAGTCTGAGCACACAAACTTTAATTTCTTTTTCTAGCGTAAAAAACTAGCAATGAAGTCACCACGACTTGCCTTATCAGTTTACGTGCCTTATCTGGGAGTAAAGCATGCATGCTCCTACAGATTGCCGTGTGCGCCTCCCGCGCTGCACTGATTCAAGGACCCGACTCTTAAGTTTTAGTAAGAGCTTTACGGCACTTGCAACACACTAAGGTTATGTAAGTGCCGAAGGTTAGAGGCGTTACATGAGTGACCCTCACAAAAAGAAAGGAGGGGAGAAAAGGGCTGTGTAGATGTCTAGTAGGAAAGAAGGAGCAAACCATACCAGAACACCCGCTAACCACCCACAGGGGCCCGACACAACGCTATAACGCAATTGAGCAGCCCTCATCGAAGTACACAATGTCTCACTTCCCATGTTTCTATTTTACAAAAGGTGACCAGAAACAAATCCATAGCTCCAACCGGTATGTTAGGAGCTCCATAGCACAGTACCTTTGAATACGATTTATACGGCTCTCAATTTTGTCAAAGCAAGGCTTATAATACAGTTAAATCTGCTCTAACAGTCACCTGTTCAAGACAATTACCTGTACAAACGGCTACTTCCCATTTCCCCCTTGTGATTTTTTAACACTATAATGACACTGTGTAAGATGCCCATCTAAGACGACTACTTTTTTCCTCGACAATGGGTGGCTGCTGTAGACAATTTCGATTGCACATAGGCTGAATAGAAAACATCAGAAGTTACAATACAATAATCTAAAATTATCTTGAGACATTTAAAAAAGCTTCACTGGCAGATTGCTTTAAAGGAACTTTATAAAGTTTCTTGTTTACCAGAAAGTTTACTATTATAGTGGTCATTATCATTTATTCATTTCTGTTCTAGTCGTCTCAACACATCGCTATCTCAGAATTACAAAGTTCTATCTAAACATTTTGGCAGTTTTGAGTTACTAAGCACCACGGGGTCAGAAAGCAAATGCTTTATCTGCTTTATCGAAATCGTAAGAATATTCGGAGTCGTTATCAAGATATGCAAAGAAATGCTCTCGAAAAAGCTTGTCATAATTATTATTATTGTGAAACTCAGAAATTTTCACGTCAAATTTCTCAAAACTAGGTATGGAGCGGTTAGAACTTTGTAATTCTGAGGTAGCAAAATTGTTTGTTTGTTGTTTTTTTTTTTCTGTTGCATATTATACCACAGGACGTCTAACTTACATGAAAGTAGAATGGAATATAAAAAAGTCGCCTTGGAACTATTAAGCTATAATATGTACAATTTTTTAGCCCTTTGAGACAATTTAACAAATTTTAATATTAGTCCTCATATCATGCCAGCAGACAGACCGAGATACACGACAAAAATAAAAATTCTCTTTACATGAAAATCGGCCTACAGCATGCTACGGCAAAGTGTCGAACCGCTACATCACAGACGCCGGTAAAGACGCAAGTCACACTTTGAAATCCCGCAAAAACTGTAGCAGTTCATATAATCAACCAGAGATATGAACCTCGTTTAGGATTTCGTGCTATCTGCTTTATCGAAATCGTAAGAATATTCGGAGTCGTTATCAAGATATGCAAAGAAATGCTCTCGAAAAAGTTTGTCATAATTATTATTATTGTGAAACTCAGAAATTTTCACGTCAAATTTCTCAAAACTAGGTATGGAGCGGATAGAACTTTGTAATTCTGAGGTAGCGAAATTGTTTGTTTGTTTTGTTTCTTTTTTTCTATTGCATATTATACCACAGGATATTTTCCTATCTTAAAATATCCGCATTATGGAATCAATTCATCGCCAATGCTTCATTTCAAAGTTTTTACAGGACGTCTAACTTACATGAAAGTAGAATGGAATTTTTAAAAAGTTGCCTTGGAACTATTAAGCTATATGTAAATTTTTTTAGCCCTTTGAAACAATTTAACAAATTTTAATATTAGTCCCCATATCATGCCAGCAGACAGACCGAAATACACAACAAAAATAAAAATTCTCTTTACATAAGAATCGGCCTACAGCATGCTACGTCAAAGTGTCTAACCGCTACATCACAGACGCCGGTAAAGACGCAAGTCACACTTTGAAATCCCGCAAAAGCTGTAGCAGTTCATAATATAATCAACCAGAGATATGAACCTCGTTTAGGATTTCGTGCTGATAACAATAATAAT